TTCTCCCTGATCAGGATATTTGTCTTTTGGGTTTTTTCCCCCATGTATGCTGTCAATATAGGTCTCATCTTTGTCAACAACTATTGCACACACTGATAGTGAGATAATGTGGTGTTCTTCTCCTATCGGGAGAAAGGTTTTGAACAAAACTGGGCTTCTTATTTTCTTAGAGTGTTTCCAAGCTTTGATAAGCAGGTATTTGCTATAACTCTACATAAATATTATTATTTCAACACAGTCACCCCTAATAGCCAGAGATACAATTACCCACCTCTAAATTACTTCAGGCTCTAGATATCTCACTGAAAAATAAAGAAATGCTTCCATGATCCCAAGGCATCGATGAGCTGCCCAATTATGGAAAGTAGTATCCCCTAGTTTCAAGTTTGTTTCTTTTAACTGAAGAGTTTACCATGCTCTGCCTTCAGGAGTAAGGCAGCTTGTAAAACCTGATCCTGCAAATCTCTGAAACTAGTTCCAATCCATAACCTTGTAGAGTCAGAAAGTCACAGAGCAGTCTGGAGACAGAACTTAGTGTTGCCACACATCCTGCACCAGGTACATAGAAAAGTAATCTCATTGAACTTTGGACAAGGTTGTTTAGCTGTATGAAACAGTCTTTCATAACATGTGACTCTTGTCTTTCTCTTATGTTCCCTCAAATCTTTCTCCCTGCTCTGGCTAGGGACTGTCTTGTTCAGAGACAGAAGACACCCATTCTCAATCAAAGAATTGTTTGTCTGATCCTCGCATGACTACTCACCAATAAAAAGCGGGGGGGGGGGTGCTGTTTGTTTTGTTCCTGTTTTGTGTTCTATTATCTGAGAGGCATCCTATGATCCTTAATCTAGTAAAAACAAACAGCAAAACAAAGAATGCATCTACAGATGAGCTAGTGCTTGATAAGGCCACAGAACAGCAGTGAAATGTTAAATCAGAAAATACTAGATTTTATCTCTTATCTTTAACCAACTGTATGAAATTCTGCAAATTCCTGAATGTTTAGAAGCTTGAGTTGACTCCTAGATAAATAGGCATTACACCACTTGGGAGCCAACTTCATGACTGTGGCAAGGATTAAATGTAATTAATGAAGTCCGATGCTTGACTAATTCATCAATGACATCATCAGCACCAGAACATACATTCCTGGATAAAATAAAACAGCTCTTACAAAGAACTCTTTTATTTTAACTCAAACAAGTTTAAAAAAAAGAAACCTTGATGCTCTAATCATCATTAGTTATTTATTGTATTCATCTTTTTTTTTTAGTTGAAATGTTGTAAGACTCACAAAAATACACTGGCAATACAAGCATCTACACTATTAAATAGTCAACTTTAAATAGAGGAACTCTTCTGTTTTCAACCTATTTAAAGGGAGAAAGAAGAGATGCCTAGTGAGAAACTCCTTGGTCACTCATTACTATACAACAGGATGAGCCTACCTTTTGTTGGAGACTTTAAAAGATTATCTTTGTTACTTCAGGAAGCCTCATAGGACTTATTTGATTATCAAAAGTCTTGGTGCTGTTAGATAGATAAATTAGACTGATGGACGATAGATAAATAGATAGATGACAGATAGATAAAGAGATACCTGTGTATGTTTCAAATGTAAAATACAGAAACAATTTTTCAAGCATACATGTAATATAGAATACATAGTCTGTTTTAGTCTTAATTTTCTTGCTAGCTACAATAGTTTTGTAAAGTCAATTTCTGTCAATAGATTTATCTCTTTGATATTCTCATTCTTCAAATGCTTGCCTTTCAACAAGCACAGTGCTGAAAGATAAAAATAAAGTCTACATTTAAATCATATTGCAAAGAAAAACCAAATTCTGCAATTTCAGTAATGATCATTTCCATCACAAACACTACAGCCAGAAGCCTGATTGCCATGTAATTCTCAGAGACTTCATTTCTGGACACTTGGTGCAGGAGCCCCGTTAAGAAGGAGGTAATTGAGACAGAAAACATGAGGAAGCCAATATCACCAGTGTCTAGAATCATAAACTCATTCTAAAAGGTGTAGACTGAACCTGTTTCCTAATGTTCTCATATTCCTAGCTTTTTTGGAGTCACATATAGCTCCCCTGAGTAGCCCAGTCAGTGGTGTTTTTTCACCAGGGACTCTCAGTGTACAATAAAGGAGGCACAGTAATCACCGATGTGCAGATGCTGCCTCCCTAGAATCACAGATAATGCATGTGTTCTAGTGTCCCTCCATGCTTCTTCCTAGAAGCCTCAAGGAAAGCTTATTTGTTAGGTTTCCGTTGGTGTGACAAATGCCAAAAGCAACTTGGGGGGGGCGAGGCTTAAATTGCTTACAGGTACAGTATGCCATTGAGGGATGCCAGGGAGTGAACTCAGGCAGAAACTTATGCAAAGATCATGGAGGGAGTCTTCTTGCTGGCTTGCTCCCCATGGCTTGCTCAGAGTTCTTTCTTTTGCAGTCCAGAATCACTCTCCCAGGGGTGGCAGTGCCCACAGTCAGTTGGGTTCTACCACATTAATCATTTATCAAGAAAACGCTCTCACAGACTTGCCTAGAGGCCAGTCCAATAGGCATTTTTCTCAACTGAGATTCCATCTTTCCTGATGGCCCTGGATTGTGTCAAATAGACAAAACCAAACCAATACAGAGATCAAAGCACCCCCTTCTTCAGAGGGGTGAGTCCAGGAGGTTCAGACACTTTGCCTTTCTTCTTTCTTTTGCAAAGTTGGTGAGAATAGAGTCATAATAAGCTGTTGAGAGGAACACTTCCTCTTACAGAGATGTAATCCTACCATAATAAACAATGTTGCAAGAATAAAATAAACTAGGAGTACAACAACAGATTAGTTACACAAGAAACAAACGTGCATAGCTTCTGCATTTTGGTTTGAATAAAAAAAAATAGCTCCCCGTAGGCTCATTCATTTGAATGTTTGGTTCTCTCAATTAATGGAACTGTTTGGGGAGCATTAGGAGGTGTGGTCTTGTTGGAGAAGGGAAGAAGTATGTCGCTGGGTATGGGCTTTGAGATCTCAAAAGCCCATCCCACACACCTCTCTCTCTCTCTCTCTCTCTCTCTCTCTCTCTCTCTCTCTCTCTCTCTCTCTCTCTCTCTCTCTCTCTCTCTCACTCTCTCTCTCTCTCTCTCTGTGTGTGTGTGTGTGTCTGTCTGTCTGTCTGTCTGTCTCTGTCTCTGTCTCTGTCTCGGTCTCTCTCTACTGCAACCTGCAGATCACGTGAGTCTTCAGCTAATGGTCCAGTTTTCTGCCTGCCTGCCACCATGCTCCCTGCCATGATGATCATCAACACTGTGAAACTGTAAACAAGCCCCTAATTAAATGCTTTCTTTTAAAAATTGCCGTGGTCATGGTGTCTTCTCATACCAGTAGAACAGTAACTAAGACACCGTCTATAACAATAGTTAGCTAGAACTTTAAAAAGCTTAGACTGGGAAGCACAATATAAAATGGAGAAAAGTCACCACAAAAAAAGCATTGTGCTAAATAACTGCATTTTCATGCTAAGCAAATCTTTTTAAGCACTGACTCTATATGTGCTCTTTCCATTTTAAGAAAAAATTAAATGCATTAAACATGAAAATTCAAATTCATAAGCTATACAAATTAGGGGGGGAAACTCTGTTTGCTTTAGTCATTATTCCTACCTTAGCAAAAGGTTTTATTAGTAAGTTACAGTAGTAGTTGGTTTAAAAATTAATCACTGAATGGAATAACAGAAACTATTAAAAGCCAGTTCAAATTTAAAGTCGGTATAAATAAAGATGAAGCATCCCAAATTATAACTAAGCAACTCAATTTAGAAAATTCGATTTACAAAAATTTGATTTGCATGCAAGTTCCTTTCTACAAACAAAGTCCCAGCAATGGAATCCTGTGGTGGTTTTCCTGGTCTCTGGGTTACAGTTTCCAGGTAGCCATATCAGAGAGGGCACCGTTACAGCTTCCCTGGGTTACAGTTTCCAGGTAGCCATATCAGAGAGGGCACCGTTACAGCTTCCCTGGGTTACAGTTTCCAGGTAGCCATATCAGAGAGGGCACCGTTACAGCTTCCCTGGGTTACAGTTTCCAGGTAGCCATATCAGAGAGGGCACCGTTACAGCTTCCCTGGGTTACAGTTTCCAGGTAGCCATATCAGAGAGGGCACCGTTACAGCTTCCCCAACAGGTGATGCCTAGGAAGCAATGTCTGGCTTGATGAGAATACACTGTAATCTCAAAAAATTGTCATTCAAGATAGATACAATTTTTCCCTTCTGAAGTTTGCTTATAGAACATATGAAATTATATGAATACCATGATGGTAGTGCAGGTTTAGAAATTACTGACAGTATATATGAGAGCAATTTCTCATTCAGTACAAATAGGGAGGACTCTGATGTGTCACTGCATGAAAAATGACTCAAAAATGTAGTGACTTAAATCTTTATGCTTGTTATGGACTCCATAAGTCAGAAAACAGATGATGCGCAACCGTGAGGCATTTGCTATTGCAGGTGGATTGGCTGGGGTGTCGTGTATAATGACAGGAAGAAGGAGACTGCTAATGAAACATGCAGCACGGCTTTGCCTAGATTCATGGTTCCTTGGTAAGGACAGCGCCAACTCTGGTGCACACGAAGCATGGGTTTCAGGTGAAGCCTGGACCTCAGATGCAAACATTTCAAGTGGTAAACACCGAAGCTGCAGGATTTTTAAATCACAGACTCAAAAGTTCCATAGAGCCATTTCTTTTATGCATCATTGTTCAAAGCAAGTCTAACACCTGCCAGATTCAAGAATGCAGAGAAGGATGAGGATGTGGTGAAACAGCGTACGAGACAGACGATTATAGAGGAAGGCAACACACTATAAAGGAAAACACATGGATTTCTTAGGGCAAGAAAAACCATGTGGTACACTGACTGAAACTCAGGATGCAGTTATACCTGATACCAGATATCACTGGAGGCAAAGACAAGCCCGTTTAAGATTTGCACTCACCTGGCGGAACTGCTCCAGGTCAATTTTGTTACCCACCAGCACAAGGGGGATTTCATAGGTGTGACGGACCTGGAAAATCAGCTCCTTGAACTTGGCGGCCTCCTGGAATGACTGGCGGTCAGTGACAGAGTAGCAGATGATGAAACCCTCACCCCCACGCATGTACTGCTCCCGCATGGCCGTGAACTCTGCCTGAGGGAGAGAAGAGTAATAGGTAGGTTTTAGTGGGGGAGAGTGAATAAGAAATGTAATGCACTCTTGTGAAATATGAGTATTTTAAACTATTGAGAGTGTTGGTTTTTAATCATAGGTTAGATTTAAGAGCTCCTGGACAGATACGGCAAATAGCGAGTTATTAATGTAAGATTTATTTTTATATTTCAGTGCCCTCACTTCATAAATGAACCAATTTGCATATTGTAAATGTTATGTCTTTGAGGTTATGTTAGATATTTCCTACTTTAATACTTAAGCATTTTCTTACAGCTTGTCTTTTGAAACTCTGTTTTTCCTAGAAACCATTGAAAAACATGTATGATCAAAGGAACCTGGCTTCGCTTTTCAAATGAAAACCCATTTTCAGGGGAAATCTGGGGCAAGTGCTCCAAAAGATCTAGTGAAATGAACTACTTTTCTATACAAGAAAAAATATGAACAGAGAGACTAGAGATATAGCCGAGATGGAGAGACTTGCCTAGCATACAGAAGGTCCTGAGTTTAATCCTCAATAGAGAAAGGAAGGAAGGAAGGAAGGAAGGAAGGAAGGAAGGAAGGAAGGAAGGAAGGAAGGAAGGAAAGAAGGAAAGAAGGAAAGAAGGAAAGAAGGAAAGAAGGAAGGAGAGAGAGGTGGGGAGGACATACTAAAGCTAGGATTGTGATTACCTTTGTCTTTCTGGGAAGGATTCAGCAAGGATAATACAGATGCATTCATGTGTTCCAGTGTTCTTAGGTTTGTCTCAGAAAAATATAGACTGAAGGGCATGGCTACTTGAAGACAGATTAATTTCTACACTCTGCTAGCTCCTTCATGTTCACTTTCTGCAGAAGAAGGGCAGGCTACCTTCCAGATGGTACCCACGTCCCTTCTGACTGACCCGGATGGTACCCACGTCCCTTCTGACTGACCCGGATGGTACCCACTTCCCTTCTGACTGATCCCTCTGTGTCAGCATTTCATGCCGCCTCCTGTCTACACTACAATTTCCCAACATCTAAAATCCTCACATTTAAACTGTAATCCACAAAGTTTCTTTAAGTCAAAAATGTGCTATTTGTTTATTTATTCTTAGTGTGATTCTACCGCTAAAATCACATGGAGAGATTAGGTAGATGCAATGGGTAACTTACAGATTGGGCTTGTCTACAAAACAAATAACACCGAAAACTAAGAATACACGAGAATATATTGTGATTTGAGCAATTTGTGCTACGAGTAACTGAAGAATTGGGACTAAAAGTAGACCAGAGAAACTAGGAAAAAGGAAATCTTAACCCAACACAATGAAAACAACAATTAGAATGTGTGCTCAAAGTACTTGCCCTAACAAATGTCAATTTAACTTAACATAACTTAAGAAAGGGAGATATTTCATTAAACTCTAAAAAATTAGAAAATAAGAGCATGTGCTTACAAGGGTAGACACACTGATAGAACTAAAATGACCTTGAGTTAACGAATGTCTTCAAAACATTTCCAACAAACATGGAGTGACTGCCAACCGTATCATAAGGCTAAACCAACAACTTCAGAGTTTTAAGAAGTGTAGAGAAGACAGAAGACAAATCTAGAGACAGACAGCTTACTACTATAGAAGCAATTAAAAATTTTCACCACTGACAACATTAAACTTTATAGACAACATATAACATATATCTACATTAAACATTTTACTTAGTATACCGAACAATAAACATTCTTACTTCAATCCCAAATTTCATGCTATAAGTATAACGCACTCACATGATACAACATAACTCCTAATTCTAAAACAAGAATAGACGATCAAATGTCTGTTATTCTATTTTATTCTTTTTTCATGCAATATATTCTGATTATTGTTTTCCCTTCCATAGATTGCCCTCAGCTTTCTTCCCATCCAAATCCACACCCTTATTTCTTCTTGTTAGAAAACAGTCATTTAAAAAATAATAAAACAAAATAAGATACAACAAAAACTTAAAATAGGATAAAACAGAATAAAAATAGCCAAAGAAAATCTCAAGAGATACATTCTGACTTTTATGGTTTTGAAGCTGAGTTCCACGCTTTAACCAGAAACACACATTTGCTAATAATCAAGTAGAAAACTACAGACCAAAATACTAACTCTCATTTCCTAAACATAAAATCAATCTTTTCAAATAAAAATGACAGAGTTATCAAAAAAACACAGTAGGTCCTTAAGAAAATAAACATAGATCCATTATAGCAGTTAAATAAAATTTAATAGTCCTGGTATACCATGCAGGTCACTCCATATTGAGAATCAAATATGCTGTGTACTCTTTTTCATGAAGGATTGTAGTTCCTTTCTTTCAGGCACCATGGTCTTTTTAAAGATACGTTTAAATTATTTGTATATGGGTGTCTATAAACGGAATGTGAATGCAGGTGCCCAGGAGGCATCAGATCTCTCTGGAGCTGGAGTTAGAGGTAGTAGTGAAGTCACCAATGCAGTAACTGGGAACCAAACTCCAGAACTCTGCAAGATCAGGAGGCGCTTTTAGCTTCTGGACCATCTCTCTAATCTTGCTGTCTTACAAAAGATGCTGTACTGCATATTCTTAAAGTCCCTTTTACTAAGACTCAGGTGTGTCTGAGAAGTAGAGTCCTCAAAGAAAACACTTCTCTGTTTTTTTAGAAATTGTGGTGATTTCACTGCCAAAGATATTGTATCAATAATGCTATCGTACGTAAAGGTGGCTGCCTCTTTTCCTCCTCTCCAATGCTACTTTACACTAACTTGTTTACTTTGGGATAAAAAGAACTCCGTTTCTTTGATCAGCTCATTATTTTTGAGTCATGTTAGTGATCTCCTAGTTGAATATTCATTCGTGTATTTGCTCTACTTATGCATGTCATTAGTAGAATGAAGGAGTTCGTGGGGATTTTTTATGTGTTTGTCATTTTCCCAACTAAGGATTACTTTATTTGTACTAGACACATGCCTTTCTATGGTATTTTCTATATTTAATGTAAAAAATACATTTGATTACATCAATAATAACTATAGCATAAAAATCTAGTAAATCTGACAAAGGAAGACAGGCAGTAGTATATGAAAGAAAAATTCACAAGTGGCAATATTTAAAGAATGAATGAAAGTCCAGCATATCTTAGAAATGAGATTAAAAGTCATATGTAAGCTATATTAAAATAGAGAGGAAGATAGTGGAGCATGCCTATAATTCCAGCATTCAGACACAAAGTCAAAACTGAGGAAATCTCAAGCTAGCCTGAGCTACATAGCGGGACTCTTATCAAAATTAAAACAACAGCAAAAATACACCAGTCTTTGCACCTGATTGTGTTCACGTTCATTCCTTGTCTTTGCAACCTGAAGGTATAATAGGGGGGTTACAATGACACGTCTTTCAGGCCTGAAACTCACTTAGATTATCTTTCAACACACAGTATTTCAGCTTCTCAACAGATTGTCCTCCTTTGTGAAAGACGGATTAGAATGTACTTAGCCTGCCCTATATGGATGAAGAAAGAGAACAACCATGAAAATGCTTTGATGAATTTTTTTAAATGCAATTCAGTTCAAGCCTACTATTATCTTCATTACAGACTTAACAGAACAGAAATCCTCACAGCAAGAGTAAGCACGAGATGCCTGTGTACTGCACTCATTGTGAATGTGGGAAGTATTCAAACACAGATTCCAGTCATAGACCTTTCACCAGTGAAGCAGACACAATGAAATGCTAACGGGGTGACTCTACACAGGTGGCTCTCTCTTTGTCATTCCCACAGAATCTGAGCACATGATTTTCTTAAACATTCTGGGGAGGCTGATAGAGCCAAGAATACTGAACACAAGCTCTGTAGCTATGTATCGTCTTAGTAATGTGATATATGAATCTCTTCACAGGGGAAAATGCTGTGTTTAACACGTTGCTTCCGTTCTCATTATCCCATGCATTAAAAATTCTGAAACATTCTGCTCTCGGTATTTTATCCGTTAATGTCAATAGCTTCCTGCTGTAAATGAAACTTGCTGGTTAATTATTCAAGAATATTACTAAATTCCATTCACTATCCACAAGCATCAAAGTACCTATGAAAACAGACTCTAGAAAATACCGTCTACATAAACAAGTCAGGAATCTTCAATGCTATTCTAAGTAAATATCACAGTTTGATCCTTTGCCATCAACATCTTTTCTTGAACTGAAATTATGTGGGGATTCTATGAGTTCTGAAAACAAATAATTCTGACAAGTATCACTGTGGTGGTTTGAGTGAAATGTCCCCATATGTCACAGGTATTTGAATACTTGGTCTTGGGTTGGTAGTTATTTGAGGAAGGTTAGGAGGTGTGGCCTGGTTGCAGAAGTGTGCCATTGAGGCCAACTTTGAGGTTTCAAAAGCTTTGCTCCACTTTAAGCTAATGCTCTCTGTCTCCTGTTCGTGGATGAAGACGTGCTCTCTCAGCTCCTGTTTCAGTACCATTCCTGCCTACCTGCTGCCATGCACCCCTACATTCATGATGGTGGACTCATCCTACTGGAACCATAATCCCCAAATAACTCTTACTGTAAGTTGCTTTGGACATGGTGTTTTATCCCAGCAACAGAATATAACTAATGCAGTCACACTCCAAGCTTTTGATAGGCAGAGTAAAGATTTGGAGGACTGTTAGGAAAAGTCATGGGCCATCTCCTTTCTGTGTTCACCTGGTAGACGTAGAAAATATCTCCGCCTCCTGTTTAGAAAGCAAACAACGTCTCATGCTACCAGGCTAACACTAGATGTAGCAGGCACAGACTATTGTTTATTCTCATCACAAAGATGCTGCCAGTCTTGGGAAAAGCACATACCCAGCCCACACATACATGCCACATTCACTCTTGATACACAAAGGCAAACAAGAAGTCACATATCCAACATTACACCTAGTGATTGAATATGGAAAAATAAAAACAATAGAAAAAATGACAACAGCAAAAAGTCTGCCTTATACATG